CGCTTTGTGTCAAGCAGCAAGCGATCTTTGGGCGCCCGAAGCCAGGTAATGTCAGCTGACGTCTCATGATGTATGGCTGCGTGTGTTCGTTCGTGCGTGCGCGGGTACGGGGTATTGGGTTGCTTGTTTATGCGTGCGTTTCGGACGCGTTTGGCCTGTTTCTTGTGTTTGGTTGCTTGTGAGCTAATGCTTGTTTATGTTTGTTTCTTTGGTTGTTTGTGAGCTATGGTGCGTGTGTTTGTTTGTTTCTTTGTTTGGCTGTTTGTGAGGTAAGGTTTGTGTTCGTTTCTTTGTTAGATTGTCTGTGAGCTAATGTTTGAATGTTCTAGGTTGATTTGCTTGCTTGTGAGCTAAGGTTCGTGTTTGTTTGTTTCTTTGTTTGAATGTTTGTGAGCTGATGTTTCAGTGTTCTAGATTGCTTTGGTTGTTTGCCTGTGAACTAAGGTGTTTGTTGGCTACTTTGTTTGGTTAACATTGAGCCAAGGATTGTTTGTTTGTCTCTGTGTTTGGTTGTCTAAGAGTTAATGTTAGAGGTTGTTTATTTGTCCGTGAGCTAGTGGTTATCTATCTCGGTTGTTCATTTCTTAAATTATTAGTGTGTTAGTATTTGAATATGTTGTTCCATTTTTTTTTGCATTAAGGTGCTTGTGAGCTGATTGATGATTTGAAGGCAAATGTTCATGAATTTCTTTGTTTATTCCTTAAGTTCATTGTAGGCTATTGTTTGTATGCGTTTTTTTTTATTATTATCTGTTAGTTTCTTTATTCTTCTAAACACCAAAAATTGTTTCACAAAATTTTACCTCATTATAGAACTTGTAAAGGGTATGCTGGAAATAGTATCACAGAACACGGAAAGAAGAGAAGAAGGGTAGTTACGATAAAGATTATAATGGTAATTATAATGATAATAATGATAGTAAGAATAATGAAAACAGAAGTAATAGCAACAACAACAAAAACGACAATGATAATAATAGTAATTAGGATGATAAAATTTTCTACAATAATGATAATGGTAATGATAACAACAAAGATAATGGTGATGGAAATAGAATAATAATAATAATAATAAAGATAATAATGATAATAGTAATAATGATAAAATGATAATAACAGTGAGGATAATGATAACAACTGAAATGCTAATGATAATGATGCTAATGATAATGATAATGATAATAATAGTAATAAGAATGTTAATAATAGTAGTAATGATAATAATAACAACTATTGCAATTACCATTATCATTATCATTTTTATTTTTATCATCATCATCATCATTATTATTATTAGCATTATCGTCATTGTTATTGTTGTTATTTTATTAACATTATTGTTATTATTATTATTATCATCATCATCATCATCATCATCATCATCATCATCATCATCATCATCATCATCATCATCATCATCATCATCATCATCATCATCATCATTATAACTATTAATATCATCATTGCTAATATTATTATCATTATCATCATAACTATTATTATTATCATTACTAATATCATTATCATTATCAATATTATCCTGATCATCATTATTATTATCATTATCATTATTGTTCTTAATATTGCTATTAATATTAGTATCATCATTATTATCTTTGACGTTGTCGTTGCCATTATCCTTAATGTTGTTATCATTATAATTTTCTTATGATCATTATCATTATTACAGACAATCATAATGGTAATAATTGTGCTACGATGGTGGTAATAACAACAATCGTAATAATAATGTTAAGGAGAAAAAGAAGAAAAAAGAGAATAATATTGGAGGAAGAAGGCTGATGATGATAATAATAATAGAAATAATGTTTATAATGATAGTAATTATGATAATAATAATAATAATAATAATGAAAAAATAATAATAATAAGAAGAAGTACAAGAAGAAAAGCAGTAGGAAGAAGAAGAAGAAGAAGAAGAAGGAGAAAAGGAGGAGGAGGAAGAATAATATTAACAAGACAAACCAAATGGAAATAAAGAAATAACATGCAAACCATCTTTGTCCCTATATTACCATAGAACAACTAGACCAAAAGCACATCAGATCCACCATTAGTCCCAAGAATAAACTGAAGGGAAAATGTCCAAATAAACAAAATAGTGACTCCGTGCGTACCCTGTTTTATGGGTTTACTACTGCAGTAAAACGCATGCGCACTGGAGGCCACGCCCACCTCTCGTGCGCGAGCGTGTAAGTGAGAGGCAACGAGACTAAATTCTGGTAAGGTTCGAAGGCTCTGTTTTGTTTTGTCTTTGTTTTTGTAAAGTTTCTGACTCTGGTAATAACAGTAGAATGAAGATATATTTATGGGTGCGTTTGTATGTGTATGTATATATGTATATATGTATATATGTATATATATATATATATATATAATATATATATATATATATATATATATATATATATAATATATATATATATATATATATATATATATATATATATATATATATATATATATATATATTATATATATTAATATGTATATATATATATATATATATATATATATAATATTAATATATATATATATATAATATATATATGTATATGGCTGTATACACACATCTATATATGTAAGATATATACACTTGCATATAAGTGTATATGCACATATATATATAC